GGGCGGGGCCAGCCGCGAAGGGGCGGGGCCAGCCCGGGGAGTTTGAGGAGGGACAGCGTGGGCAGGGGTGGAGCCAGATGGAAGTGGGGCCAGGCCGTGGTGAGCATTGGTCAGGGCTTGAGTGGGCCTGGGGCCGGAATGGGTGCGGGGAGAGGCCTGAGTGACGGAGCAGGACCAGAGTGGATGCCGGGCAGCAAGAGAAGAATGGGCAGAGCTGGGGTCAGCGTGGAGCGGGGCCACCCCAGGGACCAGAGCATGCACCGACCAGGGCCAGAGACGGGTAAAGTGTGGGCAGCGAGGATGCAACCTGAGTGGTAAGAGTGAGCCAGGAGGGGACCGGGAATGAAAGATGCGAAGCTCTAAATCTAAGTGGAGGCCACAGCCGGGGCTGCGGGAGGAAGTGGGAAGAGCGCGCAGGCTAGCGGGGATGAGCGGAGGAGGGCCCAGCCTTTGCTTGAGTGGTACGTGGGAACCCAGCAGGGCCTGGGGACGGGGACAGGGGCGGAACCAAGAGCTAGAGCGGGGAGGCCACAGCCTGAGGGTGTGACCAGGACGGATGGATCAGACCTTGTGAGGCGACAGAGCCAGGGGCTAGAGGACATTTGTGTGGGTCTGAGCCCGGGACGAGGCCAGGAGAGCTGTGACTCAGGAATGAAGTACGTCGTGGGGTGGGGAGGCTGGGACCAAAGAGCGAGAGATTGGGGCTGGGGGGCGTGGTCCGTAGCCAGGGCGGGGCTCCCAGTGACGGGGCGGCTCACCTGCACTACCTGGGCCTCGGGGACTCCACGCAGGCGTGCAAACAGTTCCAGGTGCTCACGCCCTGTAAGCAGCTCGAAGATGGCATCCGACTGAGGGCAGTAGCCCATGCGGCGGTGTGCGGCGGCTGGCTCTTGGGCCACGCTGGGAGGCAGGAGACAGGAGGCTCAGGGAAGCGGCCATCCTGGGGCCACACAAAGGGTCTCAGGATCCACCCATCTAGGCCCACTCTGGCCAGGGCCGTGTCTCAGGGTCCAGTCCGCACACAGCGGGTATTGGGGACCGTGCTGGTGCAGGGTACTGGCCCAGTCAACTCCCCCAGCCCACCCCCCAGAGTCCCCTCACCTGTGGCCGGCCAGCACTGCCTCACCCCCGCTGGGCAACGTGTCCCCCGACACCATGCGAAAGGTGGTCGTTTTGCCTGCTCCGTTGACCCCCAGCAGCCCAAAACACTATGGGATGCACACATAGAAGGTGCTCAGTGAGGTCCTGGCTCTGGTGTGGCTGGGGCTCCTCATGGAGGGCTGGGTCTGGAGGAGGCCCAGAAGGGTGACTGGCAGGCAACCCTCTAGAGCAGGGCTGGCATTTGCCGGGGACGTGTACTGGGTTTTGTCTAACGGATTCAGGCACACACCAGGTGTTCTGTGAGGGTCACCCACAAATACCAGGGGC